CGCCGCGCGTCAGTGCACCGAGCTTTGAGATGGCTAGTGCCACGCACTTTTGCTCGGTCTGGAGCATGGCGGATGCGATGACCATCTCGATCTCTCTCACCCAGAGCAGGAGATTCTCTCCATCCTTCCCCTCAAAGACCTTAACGCTCACCATGAGCGGGTTAGGGCGAGGAAAATCACCCGTCACTGATGGTGGCGTCATGGACGCAAACGATGCAGACATCATCTGCTGTAGGTGCTCTAGCAGCTCGTTTTCGTAACTTGAAATCGCCTCTAGACTCGCACCGATTGTCTCGGGGCCTTGTGCAACAAGGTGTTGCACGCCCTCAGGGTCAAGCAAGGACATCAGCTTATTAAGCCCGTCCTGCATGCCCTGAGGCAAAGAGGAAAATTCCTCTATCCTCACAGAGAATCAGTCTAAACGACTCAGGTGTAGATTGACTACAAGTGCTACCAAGTGCAGCGGGGCTGCCGTAGCTTAGCGCTTGAGGAAGCGTAATTTAAGGTCACCGACCTCTCGTTCTATACTTAGAAAAAGTGCAGGTCTAGCGGATCTTACTCCGAGAGTAATTACAACCTTAACCCAAGGCTAATTAACTCTTCTGTTTAAAATCAAAAACTGACTTTATTTTTTTTTATCTGCGGCAAAGCCTCCTAATTTTAAATGCATAGATTTTCCTAAATATGTATAGTAAAATCTACATACATGTATTCCACATACCGTATTCTTGTTTGGGTGTGGTCACACCAGGCCCATCTGTCACCAGGGTATGTGTAACCCCGTTACACACGATCTACACATTTCTTGGGTTCACTTAGATATAATCATACGACGATGTTGAATGATACACAAAGGGACACTTCAAGCCTTTTAAAAATTCTGCCTGCGGGCCTTCTCTAGCACTTCTTTGGTCAAGTCAGATTTCTCAGGTTTGAAAGTGTAGAAGAATCCACCGCACTACATTGAGCAGCCTGTCCTTATAAGACGGAAGACACTTTTTAAGCCAAACACCACGATGTCCTTCCAACAATTAAAAGCATTTCAAGAGATATCATTTTGTGCCAAATCCTGGTGTGCCATGATCAACCAAATCTGGCAAAAGCTATATCTTATGAGGCCTGCTATTTCTAGAGTGGAGTTGGCTAACACCAAACATCTACGTTTTATTCAATTAAAATATCTTACAGCCAGAAGTCCTATTATATATTATCATAACTTAAAGTTTTCACAACCAGATGTGATGTAGCTTCTGTTCAACTATACATAATTGTATTCTGCACAACTGCACAGTGCACGCTCACAATTTTCAGTACGTATCCCTTTTTTTAAAGAGCTTTCCACCTTCATCTCATGGATGTAGAAGTGATTACAAGCATACTAAGTAAGAGATATTTCAAATCTCATTTTGTGCAAAAGAGTAAGAGCGACTGTCATGCATAAGACTATTGCCACCTCTACATTGTTTGATATGAAAGCAGTTGTACATACGCTGAGCTCCATAACAAAGTGATAAATGTCCACCTAAGCACTTCTCGTCGTATCGTAGTCACTTTCTATATCCTCCGGCTCTAGACCTTGATAGAAGTGTCGGCTGTTCGTAGGTTACAAAAAACCAAACAATTACTTACCATCATGTTCGTCATTGAAAGTTTGTACCGTTCCAGAGCCTCACTCTTCTTTCCCAGTGTTTCGTTTCCTTTGCCAAGTATCAGCCATGGCTCAAAACAAGCGTTTGAAATTCTTGATATTCATACAAGTCGCCTTCCTTCTCCTGATTAGCAATGCGCACGTCCTTCCAAAAAGCACTTTCGAGAATGCTGAGGGTTTGAGCAACGGAACCAAGGCAGACTTCGAGGAAAGAGTATATATCTGGACTTTTGGTCCAAAACAGTTGCTTACGATCTGTCGCGAAAACCGCCGAAACAAGAGGCCGTGAAGATAACCTTCAAAATGAAATTTCGCGCAAAGTTATCCGAGCTCAGGGTCATCTTGAAAAGGTTTTTTCGCCGCACACCTCGCAAGAAACGTCGGAGATCCAGTAAAGTTGTGCCAAGCACCGAGTGATCAAAGGTACAGGTAGACTTTTTAACTGGCACGTTCGAGCGCACTTCAAGGATCAATATGTTTGTTTCTACTCGCTTTTCTTGATCGTTGATGTGCTCAACCACAAACTGAATATAAGATCAATATCAAGAACTTACTGTGCAATATTTGACGAAAGAACGTGTATAGCTCGTGCTGTCATCATGAGGGCTGATAAGTTGGTGGTTTATGACATAGGAAGACGTAGGTTGTACGTTCTAAAAAGCCCGTTTCGATCGAACACTTGTTCTTTTTGCTAATCTGAGCATATGAATCGCTTCAAACTATTGATAGAATAATGAATCTTGTGTTACATGATTTGTAAGATTTCTACTGATCGAAGCAGTAAGAGAAAAATGTTGAGATGCTCGGGTTATTGCTTGATGATAGTCGTTGTAGCGAGGATTTTAAAAGCATTTTCTACAATAACTCATTAAATTATAATTTATGACGAAATGAGTAATTTAAGAAACTTAAAGGTTTGCAGCTGTCACTAAAGTGAAGTGACGTCATTTCCTCATACGCTATCTCCATGTCCAAGACCGTGGGCGTGCCTATTTCATTGCTGCACGAGGGCGAGGGGCGCACTGTGACTATTGAGCTTAAGAATGGAGAAGTCTATCGTGGTCATCTGGTTGAAAGCGAAGATAGCATGAATTGTCAGCTCAGCGATGTAGTCCTTACACAGCGCGATGGTCAAAAGAGCAAGTTAGAACTCGTGTATGTACGTGGATCTCAAGTCAAGTTGTTTATCTTGCCGGATATTCTCAAGAACTCGCCGTTGCTCGGTAAAGTACAGGCGTTGTCGAAGAAGAAGGAAGAGAGTAAGAAGAAAAAAAGCACGAAAACACATGGTCGTCGACGCACAGGTCCAGGAGCGCGGAAGTAGAAGAGCAACTTGTATGAATGATGGTGGTTGGATGATTACTGGTGCTAGATAATGTTGTCGCTTCACCTTAATGGCTTGACATTTAGGGCCAGCTTATCACCTTGATAAACAGTGATGTGATATTGCTTATTATGCTAAACTCTCAACTTGACGCGACGCACTATTGATCTTACTTTCCGGGCATTTAATATAAAAAAGCTCGGTCCTACCACGTTAAGCATCATTAACAGATCAATTTGTTTTGGTTGGTCTAGAGACAACACAGCGGCAGTAATAGTGCTGGTGGAAGTAGACACAGGGCCACTGGTAGTGACAACCCGCACGTGCAGACGCTGATTAGACAGCAGATAAAGATCATTATCCATAAAATGATGGATACGCTGAAGCAGCCGCCACATACGCGTCGAGAGAAATCCAGCGTAGCGTGATTTTGGATGCCATAGTCCGTCAATGATCGCGATGCGCGTAATGGTACACCACCGTAATTAAGATATCCTTGTAGACGATGACCCTTTTGCTTGGCCTCGACAAGAGATAGCAGCTCTTGCACTTGAGCTCGCGGGTCTGCCACTGCGATGGTCAACGTACGTCCTGCGTCCTAAGTATAATGATAAGATAGCAGAATGAGTTTTAATGTCGTGCTAGATGTTTTAAGCATACGATAAATGATCTACCGAGCGAATGAAGAGCTGCATACCAACTTATCGTTGCAAGAAAGAAATTTCGGTGAGTGTGACAGATTCTATAACTTGATCAGTAAATATTCTCTTAGACTTTGTTTTTTGAAAGGATCTCGTGTCTTTTCGAATAAGCTTGAAATTTGCAATGTGAAAAGATCGGACAGTAATGGATGGCTTCGAGTTCAAAGGTATAGAATTATTTCGCTAATTTTCCTCAGATTTAGTTACAATTGATTAATGCAATGCAGGTTTTTGTGCCAAAATTCGCAGCAAATGAGGTCAAGATGCTTTCCCACAATTGATTGACCCTAATCTTTTAGAGCTGTGTAGTCTGGTAATGATGAATACGCGGTCGTGCGTCTGGATGGGTTGACCTATCAGACTCAGTATTATGTGTCTTGCATCCGTCACCTGCACATGCCAACACTCTCTTCCTTCTTTGCGTCATCTGCATGTCCAATTCTTAGTACAAGTTCTTGTAGAATGTATCCTATGCGAATTTTATCCTGATTGATGTAACCATATGTGGTTACTTATCGTGAAAACGCAACAATGTATCATCGAAGTTACTCGATAAACATCAGCTGAAATTGATAGCAATGACTCGTGCAATAACCTCAATTTTAATGTCAAAATTTAACGAATTACACAATAAATGCATGCAAGCTACATAAACAATCCAACTTCTTGTTCCTGTTAATATGCAGCAAGTAAATCTCACAAACTTGAGCTTAAAACACTAGTAGTCATCGCCACGTGATAACACTTCTTTGCATGTCGGACGCAAGATAATCGTGTGTTCATATTGTGCCGTGTAGCTACCTTTGATATCGACTAACGGCGGATATGCCGTAACGATCCCATTATCCACAAGATTTTTAAGCGCCATCAAATACTTTTCTTGTTTGGCACCTTTGGAATTAAGAGTAGCTGAGCCACCATCTTCTCGTTCAATCCATCGACGACACCACGGTAATGTACCGAAAGTTCGCGTAATATGACCCAATAATTTCTTCGCGCGAGGCAATCGCAATGGCACGTGCGGAGCATCAAATGCCTTGGCATAATGCGAGCACTCTCCATCCTCTACTACATACCCGCGTCCCGTGGTATTGAATGTTTCGATAGCAAAGATCTCTCCTTCTTCCATCTTTGTCTGATCTTCAGTCTTTACGATAGGAACACTTTTGCCTGCGTGGATTTGATACGGACCAATAGAATGTCCATTCAGATTACGAATTGATTGGATAGGGTACGTTTTCCCGTTGATCGTCACCTCAAACGATTCCATGACTTCTTGAATTGCTGCACCGATCTCACCAAGTCGTGCATCAATTCCAGCATTTGCAATCCCCGCTTCTGTCGCCGCTTTAGCAGCTGCTAACAATGGGTCAAATTGAGGATCAAACGCTACAGTCCATGCACTGTCAATAATCCGCCCATTCACTTGTGTCCCAAAGTCCACTTTCATTACATCTCCATATGATAGAACAGTGTCGTCCCCCGAATTAGGCGTATAATGAGCTGCAACGTGATTAAGTGAACAACCTGTTGGAAAGCCAATACCCCGCTAATATATCAAGTAAGTCAACCTATTTTCAAAAAAGATAATGTCAATAATACACACCTCAAACCCGGCTTCGACTACCAACTCGCGATTTTTATTCTCAAGCTGTGTGCACATATCAATAAGCTTCACACCAGGCTTCATCAGACTTTGAGCAAACTTGCGCACGTGACGATGCACCTCAGCAGCGTGTCGCACGGTGTCATACAGATCCAATTGTGCACGATCACGCGCACGCATTTCTTCGCTAGTGATGCGAAAAGTATTCAAGTCACCAGGATGCTCTTGAATCTCGCCCTCAGGGTAATGACCATCTGGATAGAGTTGAGCTATGGGAATTGTCGGTGGATCAGTTTGTCCGATGGCTATGTAACTGTCTGTAAATCCTTGAACACCGCGAAATGGCGGAAGCTTCGAGCCAGATCCACACACAGAAGTTTTGCTCTTTTTCTTTTTACTTTTCTTCTTTTTCTTCTTGCTTTTTGTATCAGAAGTAGCAACTTCACCACTTGGTTCTTTATCCAACACATTTGCTTCGGCCTCGACCTCGGTAGTCCCAATATCTTGCTCCTCTAGCTTTGCCATCGTACTGAATTGTATGTTTCGCAACTTATTTTGGAACGGGTGGTTACGATGTAAAAGAGCGTACCCCAGATTTAGTTCTGACGGGTACAAGTCACAAAGATTGCACTAATAGTTATCCCAGCTATTTAAATAACAAATATCCGGAGTCCAGCACAAAAAAAGATTCCATAATTTATGAAATTCTTGTCCAAGCTTCGCAAGTTCACCTTCTGACTGTCGCGGTGGCAATCTGGCGATAATAGAAATGGACGATTAACGCATTGTCGTGCAATTTGCACAGAGAAAGTATAACGGGGAAATTACTATAATTTTGGAGAGATAATGCAGAGCGAAGACAACGCCTCCTCCTCAATTACGGCTCAGCTGTATATTTAGGTGAGAGAGGATCGTTGGTGAGACTTGGAAAACTCGCTACGACTGTTTCCACCAGAAACATATTTCCTTCTCCTATTTAAGGCTATCCACATTATGTGATTTTTAGGTTTCTCGAAGCAAAAATATGCTATTTGGAGCAAGCACTGTATAATGCGAGGAGTGGAGTGCAACTCCGCGCGCAGTCAATGTAGGCCACCGGATAAGCGCGCACTATTCATTGCGCAATGAAAATTTTGACTCGTTAAATTCGCGTTTAAAAAACTGCAAAGGCTAGATCCTGTACTTCTACCGGGAGCAAAAGCATAGAAGAGAATCAATCTTTCAACATTGAACATTCAACATTGAACATTCCTTTTGTGATTGAACCCTTGCTTCGAGTAGCGCGAAAGCATCTTCTTTGTCGAGGGTTTTGTGATCATTTTGCTTGGTCCTGGCTATTTTAAAACCACGTTTCATCTGCTTGAGCTTTTTTATGCATAGGACGAGAGATCAACTTTTTTTTGCCGATAAAAGACAGTCTAGCGGCCCAGCCCTCTGCTTTTGAAATTTTATCGTCTCACAAGAACGATATTTCGGCCTTCACGAGTTTCACAATCATACCATAAAGCAACGAGAGTTTTGTACAATCGTACCGTTAGTATATCACTGGATTTATCAGGTGTCCATACACATGAAAACAGTTCTTGCTTCTAAGCAGTATCCCCTACTCAGATAGGGATCTCAGGTGCAAAAAATGCAGTTTTAAGGTTAGCGTAGAGCTTATTCTCTTGCATAACTTGGAAGACTTGACGAAGATAATCACAATAAACCTTGACATTAGCCTCCCCACCCGTGTTTTTGCTATGATAGAATATATCGTTAAAGTAACTTGGTGCAAACTTTCTTAATGGACGAAGAAGATTCGTGACTATACTGTTGAAAGTCTTTTTTTACCTTGTGGTATATCACAAACAACTCCCAAAGCATACTACTGGGGGGTACTGACTGCAGTGAGTTATGTATCCTTTTCGCGCATTTGAAATTAACTTTCAGATCAATCGCACTGAGAAACGTAATGCCAACCGTCCTATCAAGAATCATATCCTTGCGTACAACCGGAGTCTGAGTAAGTATGGTCGCATCGCTCAATTTGTTGTAAGCGTGGTCAATGCGCCAACCACCTGTAGCTTTTCCACGCAGAGGGTTGGACGACAATGCGCAGACTTACTCTCACGCACGTGAACAGCCTTCTGTCGCTGCGCAAAGAGTTTATCGATTGCAATGAATTATTATTTCTGGTATTGGCTACTGCCGTGTGATACAAAAATTTGTACCAGGAAGATGTCAATCTCATGACGAATGCCTCTGTCAGATGGCAATTCGTCCGGCACCTTGTCTGGGAATATATCAGCATATTCCGTGACAAGCCCATACACAGGAATTGTCCTCAGAGCATTTAAAGAATGCTCGTCAACGTTTTCTTCGGTGTCTTCTTATCAAATTTTTTTGAAGTATCGATGACATCGTCGATAGCTTCTTCGACAATTGCACATATTTACAGCTTTCGCACTTTGCCAGGATACGCTTCAGCGTCTTCTGGCTCATCAACGGCAAGGAAAACAAATCTATGACCACAATTGAAGGATTTTCGATCTTCACTTTAAGGATAACTTGACGCCGCCGTTTTTGTTGTACGCCACAACATTTACAAACTCGCTTAAGGTGTCTTGTTCTTGATCACTTTCTTCATCAGTATGACTTGTTCCTTGGTCAGGGCATGCAAAGTATATGACGAATTCACCTTGCTTTTCTTCGCTTGGCCTGGAGCCTCACTATTCTACCGTCGACCATGACTTCCATGTTGATGGCAAAAGAGACCGTCTTTTTCTGGCGCCTGACTGCTCCACCTCCAATTGATGTCATTTCTTTCGTCCTCTTGGGCTTGTATTGTGAACATGGGGGGCTATCGCTCACCACGATATAACTTGAGACATCCATGGCATCTTCAACAGATGCGTACGCCCATACAATTACGTCCGTCGTCATGCAGCTCAAATGAGCGCCGCACGAATTCTTGACGGACGATCATCATTTTTATCCAGTCAATGCTAGGCTGATAACGCTTCAATCATGGCATACCTAGAATGATGTCAAACTTATTATCGAGGTCGAGTAGGATTAACTCGTCATCATCTTGAAAATCCTCAAACTTTATTGCCAAGCAATTGACTTGCTTTGGCATCGACATCGTAGATCTATTTGCTACCAATTCATTTTCTTATTGGGAAGGCTTACACCATGCCCAGTCATAACTTGCACTCGAAAAAACTTGTTCGACGTACCAGTGTCAATCATAGCTCACAGTGGTTTCTCGAGCTCATCTACAAAGATTTATTGAGCAATCAAAGCCGCACTTTGCCTGATACTACTATCACTTTAGTGGTAACTGCATGTCCAACATGCACGTTGGTGTCAGAGCTATGTATGTCCAAAGCATACACAGTACTCTTCACGGACCCGGGAGGAAGTCCCGCCCCTACTGTTGTCCCTGTTTGCTGATCATTGGGAGCGTTTGTAACGACGACCTTTAGAGCGTCCGTGGCTATCTGAAAGAGCACCCTGTGTCTATTACCGACTCGGCAAAAACACTGTGCAGTATATGACCCGGCTTCCCACGACGGAAACACTTTCCATCGTTGCGAGGACGCTTCATGTCAAGGCGTGGAAGTGTACGAATATCCATTGGCTCTGGACCATCACTTGCAACGACTAACGCGCTTGCCATGGTACGAAGCCATTGAACTCGGTTTGCTTGATGCTGAACTATTCTTGCCAGCACGGTTGATGGCATCGCCCAGCGTCTTGAAACACCCACGGAGCAATTGATTCCCTAAATTTGACCATGATTCAAACCCGCCATGAACGTTACAACTTGCGTTGATATGTCAAATGTCTTGTCTTCAATGCTCCATACCAAGTCGCGAGTATGCTGTGCATACGAGTGTAGGTTGTAACGACCTTGACGAAGCTTCAAGAACTCGGCACGGGCGCGGATCTCTCTCTGTAGTGGTTCAAACGCCTTCGTTAGATCGATCTTTAAGTGTTTCCAGCTGGAAAAGCAGCCTCGATCGCCTAAACGCTTACCATACGCCCAACCCTTTGCATCAGCCGCAAGGTTGGACACCGCGAACAACGCTTGCTTCAAGGGATGTCGCAGTTGTCTTGCAGTGATTGCTGCGTCCAGCTCGACATAAAGGCTTGTTTTTTTCACCACGATACAGTGGCATCGTGCTGTACGAAGAAACAGGGTTGTGAACTGTTCCTTAATCTCATCATATATCAAACTGACGGCCGTGTTCTTCTGATCACCCGGACAAGATGAATGACAATGGCAGCTTCCCCGATGACTTCTCGCATCAGCTCGAGTGCCAATTCTCGTCAGAAGACAAATGAGGGAACCAATCATTCGTCATAACCTCGGTTTGCTGTACTGGTGCCCCCTACTCTCTCCATGTCGCTTGGACAAGAAAAATAATATGGCTTGGACTGGAATGCGCGGCGTGCTTATCAGCCACGTCGTCAAACGAAAATCGACTGTCGTTAAGGAACCGCTCGAAGCGCTACCAGGTATAAGAGGGTGCTATCCACAACAATCCATCAGACACAGCACACGCTTGTGCGACGAGGAAGCGTTTCTCGACGTGGTGGGAAGGAAAAAACGGCTTAAGACCTTTAAAGCAAATTTGCAACTGAATTAACGGTGAGTTAATGGCTCCAAGCTACATGTCAAACACCCCAAAGCCCCCGAGAGGTTTTACTGATGAAAACCTTGGATTCCTGACTCATAAAATGTGGTTAAGCCTCGTCTTTAACTTATACAAAATTGTAGGTGTACGGAGCTTGAACTTCGAAAGCTTGATCAACTTACGTGGAAGCATCCAGTAGAAATGAATGGCCTCTACCACCCACTTTGAAAGGCAGAGACACGATCTCGTCACCAGTACAGATTTCTAAGTAGGAACAAGCATTATGTATCACACAAAATGCTTGTACCTTTACATAATATGTCACATATGCATTTTGGGAACACCATGCGTAATCTTCTAAATTCCTATAATGCATAGAGAAGGTACGTAGATGTAACTTTATGTAATGGCTACTTCCATTCCATATACAATGTAAGTTGTAAGTGTTCAAGACTAAAGAACATATTTCTTTACACTAAGGGACCTGTGCAAGAAATGGAACGACAGCAAAATCAAATGAGTTGATGCGCTCAATGCTTAAGACGGAGCTGCTCATCATCCATCATTGATGAGTATCTTCTGCAGAGAGAAATTGAAGATGGTTGATTAAAAAATTCGTCGGACTATACACTTTGAAAGTATTGATTTCGGCCGACAAGATCCCATTTGAGATGCCCATTCAGAAGCAAGGTCTGCATGCAGAACCCGCAAAGCCAGGGTCGTTTCTGAATGATCATTGGCACAAATCTAGTAGATATTCGGAAGGGACTGGTCCTGGCCAACATTTGTCCATGAACAGTGTATTTTTCTCCTGCATGACAATATCCCTTTTGAAGAAGGTGGTTAAATGATGCTGGGGCGCGACAGAAGAGGCGGTATTCAAGGCTTTAAATAAACCCTTATGAGTTGGCAATCATGAAACAAACTTTTATATGCGAAGTGCTTGATACACCGCATACATTCGAGCACCGCTCGCGAGTGCTATATGTGGGTGGAAAAATTTGGCTCCTCGTACGATGGACATATGTGGGTGGCAAAATTTGGCTCCTCATACAATGGACAAATATACCGTCGAAACTGGTCAGTTCTTAGTTTCTATTTGGCCTGGAGAGCTGTGTCACCAAGTAATTAAACGTCGCTAGTGCGTTAGATAGTCCTTTGGATATAGCCAGTCCCTCCTAGAGCATTGGTCCGGTGTACCCACCGCAGTATGAGGTAGGTCACTGTCTCGCATGAGCAGTTGATAGCAACCATCAAACAGGTCATAAGAATTGATGAGATGTGACTGGTCATGTTGTTTTGCGGTATATAATTCATAAGGAAGTGGCGCTGAGGCAGAGGCTGGCTTTTGCATTTTATGCACATGCACATTTAGCCTCTTTTACACAGAAAGATTCTAGCCGAAACGCTTTATGCTTTGTTCTGAAGGAGGCATTTATGACGTCGCATTGGTTTCGAGGAAAGGGACACTGTAGTATTTGATTCCAGCGATTTGGTCGACTCTACGCTCATCGATCCGGAAACAAGTCATGTGGTTGGAAGGCTCGTCACCGCGTCATTCTGTCATCGACGAATGACAAAGTAGACCCGTAAGATCCGTTTTGCTTCTCTATTTAGTGCTTTAAGAGTGCCATCAGAAAACATCCCACAAGCTTGATGTAAGCCTTCTACCTAGGTAAGGAGGGAAGAGGCATTTCTAAGACTTCTCGGACAATCCAATCACGAGTAAATAACCGTTCTCACCGCTTATTATTGAATCTGCCCTGCTCCACCCAGCGGATGTGAAAGGTAGTTGTGCTATTTGAGCAGTACCGATCCATCTCGTCAAGGACGGATTATCGCTGATAAATTCTGAACCTGACTGTTATACTTTCGACTTACAATGACCCGCCTCGACTGGTCTTGGGAGAGGATACCACGATACTTAGTCGATCTTACTTTTGTTCGCCAGTCTGGCACATGGGACCGCGACTCAAACTTGTCATTTGTCGTAACCGGCTCAAGTACAGGAGACTCTAGCTGAAAAATAGAACCTCGAATACAAGCTGTGAGCCAAGAGAGACTCTCGCAATCATGTCTTAGCAAAAATGAACTCTGGAAAACTTGGTATGCAATAGATTTTATCCATGTCATCTTGAGAACGCCGTTTCTGCCCTCCAAGCGTAGATTAAAGCACTTAGCAATTTCTTTGCTCAATAATTGAAGACAATCCCCAAACCCTTTACTAAAGCTATAAAACCTGATGTCCGCGCCAACAAGCGTCTACTTCCTTGTAGCGGAGAGCTCCGAGCTCACACACGCTCCACCAGAAGAGAGGTGTTTAGACTATCAGTCATTTCAGAGCATGCCGTTCAAGCCATACCCTTCCTAAGATGTGATCATAGCAACAATTAGGTCCAGGATGAGCACTTTTCACGCTGTTTAAGTTGTCAAAAGTTTTATGAAGGTTCAAAAGAGCCCTCAATACTCTCACTGGGGTCCAAATCAAAGGACGCTCGGAGATTGTATCTGTATTCGGCATCGTCAATGCCCTCGAAAATTGTATATATTGGAGATAGTCGCACATCATGCGCATTTACAGGACACTTCTAAATGATCAGGACTTTCCAAAGCTTCAAAAAGCCAGAACGATTTTGGTAGCTAACACTCCTGAGTTGTAAGCAACGCTTGGTTTGGCGGTGTGAACAAGTCGATCCTTCGGATCTCATGTGGTGTATGCACTTAAGTGTCCATTCTTGCACGCGGCCGCCCACCATGAAAATCGCAATCTCAACGCGCTTTAATTCATCCACCTGTGCATTGCCAAATTCATGTCCATCGTAGCTTCCTTCATAGATCTCATAGGGCTGGATTTTCAACATAAAGTGATCTCACGGTGGAAGTCTCACGGACGCCTAACGAAGTGTTTAAATAGTTATCTCGCCTGCACATTATTATTGCTTGTGAATCCTTTCAACCGCCATTTGTATTATCCCTTCGGTGATAACAAAAGACATACAGCTCGGATCACGTCCTCGACGAGGGCATAACATATCTTTAAGACCTAGTCTGATATTAAAATATCGCTTTTACTATCCTCAAAACTGAAATCAAAATTCATTGCATTTTTTTGCAAAGCTCTATTTTCTTCATTATCCAGTATAGTACTCAGTAGTGGTTACAGTTATGTTCAGAATTAGTGTATCGGAGCAATTTTCCGTATTCTATCATATATGAAATCTGCCATTTACAATCCTATATGCTCGTCTATTCATTCAGATCTTGCTGTGATTGAAGCAAAAGAGCCACTACTATGTTCCCGTGCAAGACGCTTCTCTAACTGACGCTTGTCGCGTACGGCTTGAGTGTATTTGTACTTCAAGTCTTCGATCTCTTCAAAAAAATCTTCGTCAAACGCCGAGAGTTCATTAGTAAGTTTCGTATTTTCGTCTTCCAGTTCATGCACTTGGGCTTCAAGCTCCTTGATGCGTTCTACATCTTTTTGTCGAACATGAGCGTCGTCCATCGCATTAACGTGCGTTTCCAATTGAAGCACTTGATGTCGTAATTCTGTTAATTCTTGCTCGGACGCTAGCAACTTTCGATCTTTGTCCTTTACTTGAAGCTCTAATGTAGAAATCTCGTTTTTTGACGAGCTGGAAAATGCTGTTTTTGCACGAAGTTTCTGCTGCAATTTTAACTTGTCCTTTTTTAGCTCTCCACAGTTTATCTGCAGTTTCTCCAACTGAGCTTCTAGTCGTTCTCTTGCATCTTTCTGCTCCTTTAGCTTGCGCCGAATCGACTCTACTCGCTCAGGAGAAATCATCGCCTGCTTTGCTGATGATTTCTTCAAGTTTTCGTTCTCTGCTCGAAGCCTTTCAATAACTTTCTTCATGGTCTCAATCACCCCTTCGAGCTCAAGTCGTTCCTGTGTCACCCAAGGCGATCCTCGACCTCCTGTTACGCGACGCGGTTTGGGAGCACCGTCACTGCCTGGCAAACCACCACCCTTGGAATGTTGTTGCTTTCGCTCGAGTCGCTTGTACTCCAGACGCAAATTTTCAACCTCCAGCTCCAGTTCGAGCAACCTGGTGTCTTTTGAAACCATGTCTTGCTCTTTCGTGCGCAACTCGTCACCAAGAGCCAGAAGCTCTTCTCGAACGTCTTGTTCCACAAAAAAACGCTGCTCTTCACTTTGCAATTTTGAGCTAAAGTCACTATCGGTTAAATTATCCTTGCAATCTTTAATATCCCCATCAGATGAGGTGATGCCATGCCGAACAAATCGACGGCGCAAACGCTGGAGCTGAACTTCATACTTTTCCATTTGAGATGTAAACATTTTCTCCCACTCTTTACGCTTCAGCACTAGTTCTCGTTGAAGGAAGGCGTTCTGGCGCTCCAAATCTTCCATCTGCTGCTTGATAGGCAAAGCAACGATAGGAGGAACACTCGCGTTGTTCGCCAAACGCTCCTTCTCATTAATTGCCTGTTGTTTCTGAAGCTCAGTTTCTAACTTCGATATTCGGTCGAGACAACGTTCCAGCTCACTGTTTTTGCTCATTATATCCCCCTGTTTTTCTTTAAGTTTTTGCAATAAAGCACCAACCCGACGCTGCAGCTTCTTCTCATTTTGAAGCTGTTCATGTCTCTTGTTCGCATCCACTACTTCTGTCGACACGGGAGGAGCGTAAGTGGTCGCCTCACGCAGCGCAAGGTTTTGAGCTTGTAAGACCTTGTTTTTTCTCTCAAGGTCTTCAACTGTTCTGGCCTCATTCACAGCCCTTTCTTTCACTAGCCGCTCTAAACGCTCCACCTCACCTTTCAGTTCCTGAACATTGGCCTCTGTTGTGCTTTCTTTCTCCTCCTTCTCTTCAGCTTTAGTCCGCTTTTTTCGTTGCACTTGCAGACCGTATTTTTTCTTAAGAAGCCGAAGCTTTTCTTGAAGCATTAGCACTTGGCTTTGTAATCGTGCCTTCTCCTCTCTCCACACGCCCTCTTCCTCTTCATGGCGGTCTTGTTCCTTTCGTTTCCTTGCACTAATGTCGTTATTCATTGCGTGCTGCGCTTTGACGATTTCAATCGCGTGACGATCTTCAGCCTTGAGAAACTCTTCCTTCAGCCTAATAATCGCCTCTCGGAGCGCCTTGAGCTTTTCCTCTTTCTTTGTCATATCACCCTTAACGTTTGAAAGTTGTTGCTCTAACTTTTGCTGATGCTTTTCACACTCTGCTCCTTTTTCTTTAAGCAGCACAATCTCTTCCAAAGCTTCCCCTGCACGTGCCTCAGCAAGGTCTCGCTCGTTCTGCAAGACTTTCCGCTCCATTTGAAGCTCTCTAATCAGCTGTTTTGATTTCTCCAATGCAACTTCAGCCTCCTTCCACTCTTGCAAAATCTGATCCTGACGCTCTTGAGCAGCTTGCAATGCCTGTTTACTTTTACCAGATCTCTCCATACTGCTTATCGTTCCCATCGCTTCTTTGAGTTGACCAATCATCCGCTGATTTTCCTCGAAGAGCTTTTTATTTAGTTGTGTCGTCTCGAATCGATCTTGTGCTTTGTCCTGGGCACTTGAAGCCCGAACAAGTGCAAGTTTCCGCTGGTACTCATTGATCAGCATGTTCTTGTCTTCAACAAGCTGCTTTAAGCTCGCAATTGTCGCCTGGGCCGCTTGTTGAAGATCCATCTGGTCTTTTTCATACAGACCAACCTTTCGCCGCATTAACGGAGATAGACTAGAACCTTGGTCCACGTCTCGCTGGTTATCAAGCGGCCGTCTCTGTCCACCTGAAAGATCGGTACGAGCGCACTGCAACTCTATTTCCAGATCTTCGTATTTGCTCCGTATTGCAAGCTTTTCGGCTTCCAAGTCTCCATTTAGCTTTAAGAGCTGTGAGTTGCGAGCTTGGATTGTCTCTACTTTACGCATGAGGTCTTCATTTAGTGTCTTCGTCTTTTGTAGCTCAGCCAGCAAATGACTGTCTTTTGACCCTGTAGCCTTGGTTACAGCCTCAAGTTGCCCCATGAGCAAGCGTTCTCGCGTTGTTAACGCGTCTATCTGGCTCTTTAACCGACTGACCTCGCTTTGATTGCCTCGATTTTGTCGGAGTTCAGGAAATGGAAGCTGAGCTTGCTTTTCATCCAAGTCTTTTTCAAGCTGTTTGCGTCGTTCATGCTCAATTTGTAATTCCTCCTCCAGAGCATCCAAGCGCTTACGGAAAGCCTCCCATTTCGTATTTCGAGCGATCCAGTCACGTTCTTTCACGATCTTGATAGCGTTCTCCATACTTTGTGCGTTAACGCGCGACTTTTCTCGAATCGCAGTAAGTTCCTGGGCCTTCTTCTCAACCTCCAGCTCAAGTTGCTGATTTCTTAAAAGTGTCTGTTGCTGTGTACCGGTAACATTGTTGTACTGCAACAAAAACTGCTGATATGTCGTCTTGATCTGCATTAACTGGTGCTGGAGCTTCCCAACAATAGCGTGGTCTTCCGAGGCAGCCATCAAGTCGCGCAATTGCTCTTCTTGCTGTTCGCGGTTACCTTGTTCCTGAGCAGCTCGCGTCATAAGTGCATTTGCTTGTGATGCAGCAAGTGAAGCGATTCCCTTGTATTTCGCGCACTCCAAGGCGAGGCTTTCATAGAGTTGCTCAACTTCATTTATTCTCTCGTACAGAAGTGTGTTCTCGTTCCGCAGCTCATTCTTGTCCACAGCGTTTTCTTCTGTCCCTGATGTTTGCACTAATTCCTCGCAAGTTAATTCTTTGCACTTGGCCTCTTCAAGCTCGTGGACCCTCCTCACTTGGTCTTGCAGCTCGCTTTCTAATTGCGTTATACGATCGTGTAATATATCAGGATTACAGATTCCATCTTTATCGAAATGTCTGGTACTATATTCTGATTGCAAGACCCTAAGCTTGTGTTGCGCTTGACTTAATTGCGCAGGTAAGTCATACACCTCTATATACTTGGCGTGCATCTCCGCATAGAATTTGCTTAAGATGTTGTATTTTTTCAGGACATTAACCATCAGCTGCTGCTGCTTGTCCACAAACTCACGTAGCACACTCTTGTCTAGCGTCTTCTCCATCCGTTCGATCATTTCATCCGCACCATGCTTCCATGTTTCGAGGTACAGGACTCGATATTTGAGTGTCCGCTCCATTTCGCTCCACTCATGTTGAAGCAGCTCATTGTGCTCCGTACTGCTACGCCACTCCGCATGCAGCTGATGATATTTCCGTTTGTAACGCGCTTCATTCACTTCGAATGTGGCAAGTCTTCGCGTCAATTCAATCACCTCGGAGCGCAATTGCGCTACATTACCACTGATCAGTGCGTCACTGGTTGTTGAAGCGTTTTGTTGGCTCTGAATTTGTAGCAAATGCAATTCTGCCTCATACCGATGACACCTGATCTGATATTCTTTCTTTTCCTCTGCCATCTGATCCAAATCATGACGAAGACGAATCTCAGCGCTGGCGTATTGTGCATACAGTTGAAAAAAGTGCTGATACAAGACCGTGTGCTGATCCATCAAGGATTGGAAAACTTCTTCATGCTGATGTAGTTGCTTCTGAAGCTCCTCATTGCGTGCTTCGGTCGTCACTAAATCGTCTAAGCAGACATTCAGCTCACGCAGGACGTCAAGTTGCTGAATCATCTCGTCCTCACTCTCAAAGGCTATTTGATCGACCATTGGTGATTTTGCAGACTCGTGGTTAACAATTTTGGCTTCGTCCGATTTATTGGCTAGGTCTTTAGATGAAGCAGATGTTGCTTCTACATCATCACTACTTGCTGTGCCCATCGCTACTGATGGCAGAAAGGTGCCTGTCTGGGCTTTAATTAGTGCAAATTGTGCTTCAATTGCTCTAGCCACAATGAAGGCGATGTCGTCGGTGCGATCATCTTTACGTTCTGATATGAGGCTTTTATCAGAAAGCTTTTGCTCTATTGGTAAGTGATCAATCGCTGGATCCATGTATTCTTTCACTTCGTGTAAGCTGTCGGGTTCATTGTCTCCTAAAACTGGCAGCGACTCATCACCTCCATCGCAATCAAATTCATCGAATTGAATTTGTACAGCAGTCTTTATATTATCTGCGCAGGGAGACGTTTGTGTGCCTGCGCAAACCGGTACAGCGCTATCGCTTGTATGCTTTTCGTTTAAATTCTTTTGTGTTGGATTTTCATCGTAGTTAAGCGAATTGGTTTCCCTTAACTCCTTCGACTCCTTTCTTTTATGCAGCGAGGCAATTTCTGCTCTTAGATGATAAATAACACCTTCTTGCCGTTGTGACCTCACCTTGGCAACGTTAAGCGCGTGTAAGAGCTCGCTCTTCGTATCATCTGGCTCAGATTTTAACCGCCATGTCGCCAAGAGTAGACGCCGAGACTGTACATCCTCCAGTTCACAATGTAGTCGCTCAATATCCCGTAACAACATTGTATTTTCATCACACTTGGCATCAAACTTTCGTTCGAGTTTATCTACGGCAGTCTCCAGATAATGTAATGACTGAGTTCTGTCACGTACTCCCGTGTGCTCTAAAGTGCAGTCAAAAGGTTCATTTGCAGCCTCCGGTGTTTGTCTGACGCGCTCAATAAACCCTTCGATAGTAGCCCACTGTTCAGTTGTCAAGCCATGTTGCTCATACAGTTTATGTCCGTTGAGTCGTGCTTGATCTCTCAGCTTCTGAAGATGTCGTAAGCGCTCAGCCTCTAGTTCCTCGATCTGGGCTTCCATTTGCTTCACCACAGCCTCATTAATTGCCAATTGGCCTTTTAAGTGGTCAGCAATCGTGAGATCATCATACATAAAATTAAAAGGTTTTCCGACCTCTGCCTTTAAGCGCTCGAATGCTATGTGCATCTTACTAGTTGCCTCTACTTGCTCATTTAGATCCAGGCGCAACTTGACATTAATTTGCTGCTGTTGCTCTAACTGCATTCGAAGAATCTTTTGATACTTGACTACTTCCTCAAGTCCAGCCTTTTGTTCGTACTTAGCCTTCCACTCCTCAGTGTCAACTAGCTGCTTTTCTAAAAAACCTTGTCGCAGCTCCAAATTCTGGATTAATTCTTGCTGCTCCTTTAAACGCTTATTCAACATCGTGTTCTGCTGTTCAAAACTATCAAGCTTCGCTTTATGCCTGTGTGAAGCAACCCCATCGGCGCTATCGACCACAGAGTCACCAGTAAAGTGCCCCGCAAGGCTCTCCAAATCGCTTTGCTGTTGCAATATCCGCTGATTCAGTTCTAGGATCGTGCTTTTATCTCGAGTGCGCAATTCTTGCAGCATTTTCAGCTGTCTTTCCAGGTCTTCCATATGAGTACTTGATCTACGACGAATACCGGTATGATTATTCTCCTCTTTGTCATCAACTAGCATGTTACTCTCCTGCGCTTGCTGTGTATGTAACAGCTGTTGCTTCAACTTCTGCTTTACTTCATTCAGCTCTGCTTGGAGCACCGCTTTCTCCATATCATACTTGGCCTTGATATCGCTCATCAGAGCGTCTACGTCGCTCTCCTTCTCGTCCATCTCAATAAGCTGTGCTTCAAGACTTGCCTTTTCCAGTTCCAATTCCTCGACTTTTGTATGCAATTGCGTCATTTCCAGCGTCTGTTCGTCCATCACATCACGATAAGCCTCGAGCTGATCCTGCATGGCAGTGTAGGACATCTGGTACTCCTTAACTTGCCTAGTGATCGTTTCCATGGCTTCATTCAGCTTTGCTGTCTCATTCCGCAGCACTTCATTCTCCTTTAGCGTCGTGTAAAGCTCATCACGCTCATCTTTGCTCTTCTCGGCCCCTTCGGTCACTAGTCGCTGTGCTTTGATACCAGCCGTAGCTTCTTCTTTCAGTTGTGATTGCAGCTCCCGCAATTTGGTTTCTAACGCCTCATTTTGCATCTGCAAGCCAAGAGATTTGTCGTCTACAATCTTAGTGAAAGGCGTATCAGGCGAGATCGTCTCTTTCTCGTTGCGAAATTCCAGCTGTTGCTGCAGCTGCATCATGAGTCCTGTCACCTTATCCTTAAGATTGACTACTTCATCATCCTTTTCTGAAAGCCTTTGATGCATCTGCAGCTCTCGCGCGTTCGCATCGGACTGCACCGAGGTCAGTTGATCACAAAGATGCTCGTTTTCGCTCTCAAGCTCTAGTAGGTCGCTGCGCAACAGCTCCAGCTCCTCACGCAGTGACGTGCAGTCGGCTCGTGTGCACTTTGAGCTCGTAGCAGCAACCTCCATCACCACTGGAGATGCCATAGAATGTGCTATGCATTCGAGCAATGCGGAAACGGCGCTAAGCCTGCAAGAGTGATGGTCCTCTGTAGGAATCTTAAAGCCCTTTCCAACATGATTACTACGCAGTGTTTATCAAAAATTGGCTTAGACGGGATTTAGAATGTGGCCATTCATTGCTCTAAATTTCCGAAATATTTATGGTTGTCTATAAAATCATTAGGTATACATAATGCTGCACCGCTTTGCTTTGCGATATGGTTCAGCCGCAGTCATACGTCAGCCATGCCGCAGCGCCGTTGCGAAGCTGCAAATAGCTTGCTACTCATCTGAGGACGATTGGCGTCTTGTAGATGAAGATCTTGACGATGGTTCCGACAAAATTATTGACAAGAACAGACGTGACTCGATGCCACGACGCCAGACCATGCCGGAGGCAGCCAAGAAGAGCCGATTTATGATTGTTTCTCCTGAAAACCGCGGTAAAGTGCGTCGCCGACTATTGGACGAGTTTAAAAAGGATGGCATTACACTCGTTGACCCGGACCAACCCGGTCAGTATCTAACGCCTGATGCTGGCGTCTTGAGTGATATGCGTGCTATGAACAAAGAGGGCGACGAGATGGAATTTGCTGACGAGGAAGAGGAAGGCGAGATCAATCTTGGTCGAATGGGAATGTTGCGCCAGATTGTGCACGTGGATCAGGTGCAGAAAGTCACGACGCAGGAGCGCATCATGAACTTTCGTGCGCTCGTTGTCGTCGGTAACATGCGCGGCGTTGCTGGTTACGCTGTAGGCAAGGGATCCTCTCCGCCTATCGCTATCGAGCGTGGCACAAAGCTCGCTTTGAAGAATTTTACCTTCGTTGACCGATTTGATAATCGCACGTTATATCACGAAGTACGTGGCAAATGGAACAGCTGTACGCTCTTCTTGCGTCCGACACCCAAGGACAAAGGACTTACGGTAAGTGACACTGTGGCTTGTGTATTAGACTGCTTTGGTATCACGGACGTAGTATCGAAGACCCACGGGCAACGCAATCCTTTTACTGTCGTCAAAGCTGTATTTGATGCGCTTTCTAAGCATGAGACGGCTGAAGAAATTGCTCTCCGGACTGGCCATTCCGTTGTGGAAATTAGCACCTTGGCGCGTATGCGCAATCTTTAGGCGACTGGGCCTTTATAACGACGAAAGTGCTAGGGTCCAAGCAATGGTAATGAGAGTTGATGCTTAAAGCGAATGATCAGCTGGTTGTGGTCTAAGTTTATGAGATCGAATATTTGAACATACAAAGACGTCAATAGAACATATTGATAAGCTCTACATTACAATAGTGTATCGTTCATGCGCTGCCTACTGCCATCTTCTCATAATATCGTTCGCTAGCCATCACAGCATCCACCAGCCAGTCTATCGCGCCTTCAATGCCCTCCCTGTCAAAGACATTAGTTGAGCAATGAATGATAATGGTATAAAAATTCTCAGTGTACCTTGTTAATGCACAGATGGGATAACTCGCGACTGCGCCTTGATGTCCTTCTACTTCCAACCACTTGACAATATTTTTAACTGGTTGTGCATTCTCCAAATCCATCTTGTTTGCCAGCACTACTAGTGGAATTCCTGATAACTCGGGATTCGCCAGCATTGCGTCTAAAAGACAATAATGTCAAACACGAGAGAATCACTTCATCGCATCACTTTATCCACCACGTACGCAATGTCACTTTTGCTTCTTGAAATCGTCTTTCATTAGCAGAATCAATCACAAACACAACACCGTGACTTTCACTGTAGTATTTGTTCCAAATGGCACGAAGACGTTCCTTTTAATACAATCACGACCATATTAATATTCAATATTTTGGCACCAATCACTTGCCATCCATACTTGTCCTCCAAGATCCCAGAAAATGACCCTCGATCGTTTAATATTAACCCGAGCAACTGCACAGAGGGTACGACGTTAGATGCGATACCACTAATCCATCAGTTTATCTAAGCCACCTACTGTTAAGCCCCACAGTCGGCGGAATCTTCTCCAATGGGATGCCTGGCTTCTTTCCAAATATGCCTTTAAGCTGCTCAAGTAGCGTCTATAACAACAGTAAATTCAACCTTTATTCGACCAAAAGATAGCGACACACTTACCTACCGTTTTGCCTGCATCGTCTAGTCCCACGATAAGCAAATGGAGCTCTGCCTTGCTAAATAAATAGTTCCATAGCCCCCAAAACAGCGAGAACATGACTGCGGCGTTTGAGGTAATTATAATGATGAATAAATTTACGCAACATTAAAGTAACATCGAGATACAATACATAAATCACAAATCCTAGTCACAGAAGCGTAGACACTTGTTCTCGACAAGCCATGCAGATCCAGATAAAGGTGCGTCGCCAATATATTTGCGAAATAGTAAGTGTGCTCGTCATTCTAAACAACATACTGGTTGAATACATCGTTATAGACACTTACGGGCCGCAAGCAAACGTTTAACTTTGAACCAGACAACACGGTACACTCTTTCTAATTTCAAGTTGACATGTTGATAGAAATAACGTACACATTCTTGCGTTTTGTAGATTTTGCACGTCAAGCAGGCTTTACAAGAAAAGGAAGGAATACAAGTAGATCAGATTCGTCTTATTTACAGCGGCAAACAACTGTACGTGATGCTGGAGAATTGATTTAAAGAAGGCGAAAAAATTGACGTGGACTATTGTGGAGCAGTGCAGACGACAAGACCCTACAGGACTATACTGTGGCTGCAGGTGGCACAATTCACATGGTACTGCAATTGCGTGGTGGGTGCTAGGGGAGGAACGACATTTAGAACGTGGGCCATAGCGAGAGTATTCAGAAACTAATTAACAAATGAACCTCTCAATGACAAATAGTCAATTTTTAGCAATAGCTTGTCTTGATAGTTTCACTGTGCATTCGTAAGCTGTTGTTTGATCAGTGGCTCTAGTTGTTTTTTCATTGCTAACGACTTAAGCAGCTGAATGATTAAAGGCGTATAATTGTGCTTGCGGCGCGTATTCTCCTGTGCCCATTTTTCTCGTTTGTGTTGCTCAGCAGCAAGATCTATTTGAATTTGTGCCACTTCTTGTTCGCTTCCACCAGCTTCAATCAGAGCCTGAAGCTGTTCTTCGTAAATCTGTATCCGATTTTTGACGAGCGCTAGTAAATTAAAGCGAATTTCCGTTGCCGAATACCTTTCGATTCTCCTTTGAATCACAGGACATGCCACCTTTAGCCAAGAGTCACGAAATTCAGGATTTGGTACCTCGCCAAGACAAACAGGTCCTTCTTTAAGTCCATCAAGCTCATACACTTTGCCATTTACAGGCACGAAGGCTACAAAATGATACACATCGTCGTCCTCCGTCGCATTTCGACTCTCTACAACAAACTGTTCAGCTCGAGCGAAGGAATTATGGGTTAGCCGTATCCTGTCACTGTTTGAGATGGCTAAACCCTTAAGATCTGGTGGAAAGTCGCTTGTAAAGGCTTTAAATTCAGATAATGTTTCACCCAGCTCTACGTCTTCAGCATTTAGTAGGATAGACAAAATGGCTTGTGTGGCACAAGCATTGCTGATTACTTGCTTAGCAAAGAAGATTCCGTCTTCTTGACTCGCAATGGCAGAATTGTTGGCATCGTTTGCGTGGTTCGAGTCGTATTTGAAAAGAAACACGAGTCCGTAGACTGGCGACAAATCGGCAAACTGTTGCTCGTCCAATGTGTAAAGCTCTTCGACCTGCACGCCTTTGACACCAATTTCTTCGATCAAGGCATTAAATACGCCTTTAATGGATAAACATGATTAGTTGTGGAGACTGGAGGCATCGTACAGAGGGGCGTACCTGGGTCAGACTCGATAGTACACCACGACATAGTTCTTAGATACAGGCTTTACGACTTCGGCATTTTATTATTCATATTATCAAATTTCACAGGGAGCCATAGAAATGAACAAAACACCCAACCGATAAGAATTGCGCTTATTTTGCCTATTTGATACGCTTCGCAGAGCTTCAATTGAATCGCTCGAGCATAGCCGCCTAAGAAAGGCGCAGATAGCTGCTGCTCTGGAAGAAGTTGCTCTGCATTTTCACTAGAATGTGCGCGTGATTTAGTCACAAAATAGGACTGCCTAGTAGATCACCTGAGCTCATCGTTCATCTTTTCAGTGATCGATTTGATAACAAGGTCAACTTGGTCAGATATGGAGGGTGTTGCTTGTTGCAAGTTTCTTAGACCGAATGACGACGTCAACATGTCGCTCGGTCATCGTGTTTTATACAACAGAACTGACTTGTCAGGCAAGTAGGTTTGCACAACATCCGGCAAATTCTTCTGGCTCAACTCTGAAATTTGAGAGCTTTGACATGGTGGAGCGCTTTTTGGTCCAAAATTTATATTCTTATGGCCTGACTGAGAAGTCGTAACTCATGAACCAATTGAAAGTATGAACATTACGTGCCATGCACTTCTCTCTTGGTGAAGCTTTGGTGAGGAATCTTGGCTCACAGACACTTATACCTTCCGGGTGCTGCTCGATGATATTATAGATGATATTGTCAACTATTTCGGATCCATTATTGGTCGGCACCGAGGCTATTGAGGCGTCAAGCCAACGCGCTTCTGCTTTCTAGAAGAGCTGATTGAGACGAGAGTGAGCGACCGTACGTCTCCATCTCCATAGCGTATCTATGAGAATATGAGAATTAGCGGCCGCCGCGGTCTCTAGAGTAAGCCTTGCTGCGACTGATGTTCACAGATATGAGTTGTAAATACTAGGAAATAAGTTTTAGTAGACGAAGAATATATATTGTATCATTCTTTGATCCCGCGAAAACGAAGTGGAGTGACAGAGTGCACCGATCTCCAAGGCAACGGTTTCTGTAAGCCGCGAGGAGAATTCGCATGCTCGTGTGTCAGTAAGAGTGATCCGTCTTTGTCAGGGTGTGATAGCACCGCTGTGTCAGCAAAATCGAGTGACGTGCCAACCGTGAGAAGCAGTGAAGGTCCGCGTCTCAGGGTTATTTTTTCGTAAGCAGTGTTAATAGAGTAATCCCAACGAATATTGGCTTTGCAATATAGAAAAAATTTGGGACGGAGAATGACATCAAGACGGTGAGATCTACTTCAAGCGCCGGAGAAAGTGCTGAGCTCATCATTTGTCATGATGAGCTCGTCATCAAGTACAATTGCAGGAGTGAGGCAATTATCTTCACATAATTTGCGAATTCTACATATACTTTTGTAGAAGGACACCCTTGAGGAAGTGATGGTAGATATTTGACGTATGTGCTTTCATTCCGGAGAGTGCGATAACATTCAACCTAGTCTCAGAGACAATAATTCGAAACATCAATTTCATTACCAGGGAACAGTTTAAAGTCATTATGACTCCCAGGCTCGACCTGACTATGATCGTATATATCTCAAAAATAGGTTTGCACGTATGCACGACGCGATCCAGATAGCTGATTCATTAGGCGATTGAACGTCGCTGGTGCGTTCGACAGCAGTAGGGTACTTCCAGAACAACTTGCTCGGTGAATTGCTACAAATAAAGAATATCACTCACTCTCACAGGGCGATGATGCTTCTCATCGATCAGACCAAGATTAGGCAGATAAGTGCAACCAATCATATTGTTCGGCAGTATCTCAGCCTTCATGCTCAAAATGTTACCTCTTTCAGCGTATCCTATTCACCACTTGCCGTTAGCCCAACTGACTCTCTATCGGCACCGACTGAGAAACACGCTCGCACCAGATTTGCCGCTTGATTTTGCGAGAGAAAGGAGTGTAAACAGCGCTCAGGAATACATCTGAATAATATGTTTTTCGACACAGACAACATGATCTTTGGCGCCGATAAAAGTCTCTATCTCGGGGCATTCATTTGACAGCATAGTCCGCGGCGTATCAATGATGTTTTAGATTGACCTGTGCTTTTGTCCTAGAAGAGCTATAAGAAATAGTCTGGCCTCGCCTAACTGCAGTACGAAATCCGCTGACATTGAATAGCTCATCACTGTCTAGTCAGAGCCGAATGTCAGAAGGTGTGAGGTGTGCGGTAGGATAAGTCATCTTTGAAGCTGTGAGAGAAATCTTGATATGTGCCTTTTTTGCTCTGTCGAATCAGAGCCGAACATTTTTCATCGCCTATGCTGCTTCATCTTTTGCCGCAGGCTGCACACGTTGCGCTGATGTCAATAAAATAATCGCGTCCTTGCGTATGGAACTCTCTAGCTGAAAACTGCTGAGAAAAGCTACCCCAAGGAGACTCTTTATGAAGATTACCCTTGTCAAGTTCAGGGTACGCCTAATATGCTATAAGTAACTTGTGAGCTATACACATCATGCATCGTTACGCACGGCAACATCGTCACCAATCGAAAAAGGAAAAAAATATATTTGGTTCTGTGACAGCTATATCATGAGTCCTTACATGCGAATGGGCAGGTTTTCATGTGCGCAGATGAACGACATGTCAACGATTTAAACTCTCGTCGCATGTACTGACGCCTTTGGCTAGTATGCTAGTCCTCAAAGAATAATGTCTGTCCAGTAGCATGATCTTTACATTTATATCCTGTAGAAGCCACGTGCGGCAATACCACATCACGGATTTTGTGCGCTGTTTGTGCGGTGACTCAATGCGCTCTGGTCATCAATCAGTGAGATCACGGCCAAAACAAAGTTGTTCGTCATCATGACATACCGGTGGTATTTCTATCAGATCGAGATTCGCACACTGCAGCGAAAATTTGGCGCTTTTTATACGGTGCTTGTCACTTGATTGGGCTAGTATACTATGACCATCCACATAATGATGATCAAACATAACACCTCCATCGCATAATAAAGAATAGCGTTTAAAACATTTGAGCGAGGAGACCGCAAGGTTAAAGTGGAATGCTCCGACGCCATCATTGCGTTCAATAACGCAGCACACGTCGTCAAATTTGACTTTTGATAAGAGATTGACTGACCCCGCATCCTCTTGACATCATTACTTAGTGGCACTTGTGTTAGCGGGAATGGCTGCCAATATGATTTTGGATGCTGATATATCACTTTGTAGTAGAATCAATGCTTTCAGCTCGACGAAATCAAGCGTCATGCGCCAAGTACGACACTATTGCAAGATGTGCAAAAGCAATATGCGGATCGCACACACCGACGCAAAAAAAAAATCTTTTAGAGGGTCAAACAATTGCGATCAACGTTCGTAAGCAGCCCACACCTGCAGTGTCTGCAGTCTATAAATTTCAGTTGCTACCTCACCATCGCAGAACTCTACGGTCGAAGCTAGAAAAGGATTAAGCGACACTATTAACATTGTAAAAAATGCAAACACATCATTTGATCTACGCGGGCTTGCTTAATACAAAACCTCGATCCCGCTCGTAGAAGTTACTCGTACGAGCGCAAATGTATATGACGCTTTGCTGAAAATTAAGCAACGTATCAGCCTTTCTTGTAGATGACCTAACTTCTGCACCGATGTAGCGATATGGTTCTAGTCCGCTTGGAATACACCGTTATATCGGGTGTCTGAGGGAGCGCACAGAATACTGACTAATGTCAGTCTTTAGCCGTCTTGAAGAAAGTCCAACCACCGGCATTCAGAGCTCGGAAAGAACAGTCACAGGAAGTCCTCTCTCCGTTGGTGCTGCTCGATAAACAAGAGGGAATTCGTAGAACGGGTAGTAAGCTTACGGATTCACTAGGGGGCACAAGTATCTGGTGAAGTCCCACTCGAAAAATTCTCACTTTGGCAAAATTATACTTGCGCCGTTGTCGCTCATGAACCGGCACCCCCTAGCGCCTTTGTCTCCTAGGAAGACAAGGCAGGGCTGCTCGACGCACATTCTACTATCGACTGGAGCCCATCTTTGATCCCAGATTGACACTTCATCGGTAACTGCTACAGCTGCTATGTGGTGATGAGCGGTGCTATTTGCAGCAAGACCTGAAAGTGATGGGTTCCCTCGGTACCCCAAAACGTCACACAATAATCTAGGTATCCATCTTCTCACTTTTACTAGCTTGTAACGCTATGAGTCGAGTGTTGCGATGTGTCTTCTCACCTGATACGTAATTCAAAAATAATACCCTTTGGCACTCTCGTCAAAGGTCACTTCATACACTTAGTGCTCATTGGGGAGGTTAAAGTGACTCTCCGAGTCCTGACACAATCCCTCCGTTCTGTCGATAAACCTTTCACCTCAGAGGAGGTGCTTGCCTCCAATTTGCACGAGTTAAGATCTTCGTATCTTTTTCCTACGGTGGTGATTTTGTGATACACTAAACAAAAGCAGAAAAATTCAGAACCTAAAATAGATTTTCGGCAAGCCAAAAAAGTGCCGGACCTGACTAAAAAGTCTAGCTTGCTTGACTACATCGTGACTATCGTCTCAGACCATTCGAAACTGCTCGTCGCGCAGATACGAGAAATCGTCAGCCACCTCACCTTGTATAGCTTCAAGGCCGTCCCTTTTGTTTTTCAGAAATCAAGCTATTTGACGTGATAGATTGAAAATGACTCTCGACGCAAAGATCGTAAGAGAAAGCAATAAAGAAGGCAATGAGCGAAATGTGCGTAATGGGGGCTCGTCAAACCTTACTTTTGAGCAATAGGTTTAAGGACAATTTATAGTCCGCTTTTTAGTGGGAAAGGGTGTTACCGAGTACGTGCCCAACTTAAACGTCTGTACAGTAAACGATTGTAAAATACTACGGAATGAACCTTAGTGGAGTTGTTAATATACAGAAAGACAAAACATCGATACTGATGAAGATGATTAAACTTCGGCAGAAATAGGTCTGTACACAATAGTATATATTTAGTGTAACCCCGAAACAATACTATCAAATAGCAAAACCTATATACTAAAGAGGCTTTATTCGGATTTCTTTTAGTAAAGTCTGCAAGAACTAACCTTCGTGCGTTTGACACCGCAGAACTTTGAAACAGATTTTACTCTGTGCAAGGTGCATGGCAACTTCGTTGTAAAGAAGGTCAAATTTGACAACGTTGTTTCGACTTAGACCAATTGGAGAGGTCACGAGATAATGAGATTCCAGCAAATCATCTGTCAAAATAAGGTAAAGCTTTTTGAAGTGTATTTTGATATCTTACAGAATTTTAATGAGTGGGGGCATTTTTGATCCAGCACCACGGTTGTGCTTTGACTGGCATCCTCAACCACGCGAGTATTGATTTTGTCCAGCTACCGGTCTATAGCTGATTTACTTCGAAGATGTCAAGCAAATTAAGATCAGAATCTGGTAAAATATTCCGTTCAACCGTGAATATTGATCCAAAGGAATAGCCACAGAAAATTTATGCTGGCAAAAAATGTTAAGGAACAGCCTTGTCCGTAACTTTACCGCCGACAACAGCGGATAACCATTTGTACAAGCGGCAAAAATACCACGATACTGGTAATTTGGACACGTCTTTTTGAAAATCGAAGGACATTTAACTGATGGACAGTCATGAGTTTGCTGGCATTGACAAGCTAGCAGATGGTGCTGACCCATGCGACGGAAATACAATCCGTCAATACTTTTCACGCGTTTGCACATTTGACTTCCCGATTATTCAGGCTAAGCCATCATTACATCACAATCACCCTGCAGTATGCAGTCCCCTCCCTCGGTGTCCAATTAAAGGGGTTGTGCAATGTACTGTACTGAAGGTCCTCGTCAAGAGTTACCACCACACGATGCGTGTCAAATGGACCAGTTCTGTGATACAGCAAGACTTCTTGTGATGAAAAAAAGCGGTGCAGACCTATAACTGCGCGTTTCGAGAAAGGCACATCTGAGCCCTCAAACTCCTTGCTTTTCAGCGTTTCCAGTAATCTAGCATATTGTGCGTCAGATAAGTACCCATACAATGTACTTATCCCCTCGTCGATTGGCGACGTCATTGTTGTTATGTGCGACAGTCCATAGACAGTGGGACGTGAAGATACGCCCACCATCGGAGAAATACCCGACAAGAAGCATCATCATCATATCTGTAAGAGATTTGTGGCGATGTCACTTTGCGTAACCAAGATTGACTTGTATATAATGAATGGCATAAAGCTAAGCAGGTGCACCCTCAACTTGAGACAAGCATGTTCCATGGCAAGTAGCTTCTTGTCGTGAACAGGCTAGTATTTCTTTCCCGCTATTAGTTGGACTGACTCAAATACAACTACAACTGATGCCCATCGTCATTTGCTAGGAGTGAAACCTAGACAATGAAAAAGACCAAAATGTCACAGAGGACATAAAATGACCGATCTGGAGCTAACAGTAACAGAATCGGATGGTTCGAACAAGACATTCATTTACAGCTTCTTCTCCACGCTCCGGCACCATTTGACTTCTTCGTAAAAAGATTAGCGATGGCTCAAGCTATATTGGTTGGATTGCACTGTACTTAGTTCAGCTTAATCAATCCCTTAAAAAAAACACTGACTGATCTACTATTGCATTTAATGTTTAGTCGCCAACGACTTAGCCCTTCGGGGTTGAGTCCTGACGAAGAAACCCAGAAAAGATATATTGTCGGCGCCAGAAATATACTTGTCTATTTTGCATTACGGCTAATTTAGTGCATAAACTCTAGCACAGTTCCCCAGCGTTCAATATATATTCCACGCTAAACCCACGTGCTCTGTACGGCTATGTACGAATATATTGTCGAAATTATCCGAACATAGCCACGATACGGCCTATACAGCTGCAACGTCAGACGGTGGAAAGTCGTCGGGATAAAAGACAGTCTTTGACGCATAACTAGCTTTCCCAGATTACCCCCCCCTAGGGGTATTCTCTGCAGTGAGAGAGAGTTTGCTGTCTCTCGTGTGCAGATGGTAATACCCATCAACCAGGTCAAACGCACTGAACTCAGCGCAACCGACAGTACCGTCCTGCAGCACGTTTTTTCTCAAAACAGGAGTTAATGCTATTATGGCGACCGCATTAGCTGATTGCGATTTTAACTTGCCACTAGCCTTTTCGACAAAAAAATTTATAGCCGAGTTGACGATTAAATATATATTACCTATATTGTTTCGTACTCCACATCAAAGAAAGCGTCTATGAAGCCAGGTTTATGCGAAAGGTCTCATTATGGAGTCAACCATGGCGGATGATATGCGCGGCTTTTTATCAAACATCGACTGTATCGATTCGGTTCACTTGTCGTCTTGCAATTCCTTACAGAAGTTTCTTTATATAGCCCTAAAAAATATGATCCACTGCGGGGAGCCTTACAACACCTTCACGATTTGAGAATGATCCTCACCAAGAGTTCATGAACCTTCGCCGCGCCACACGATGAGCGCGTCGTACGGTAGTCCTAACATTGCATCATGTCAATGTCTATCAAATTCAGGACATGGTCCCTTCACGTACGAATGACAGCCGCCCATCTTCACAAACCTTAGCACAAGAGAACACGACTCTCAGTCGCATTAATCGTGTTCACCAACTCTAGCATAAGAAACTTCACCATACAGCTGCAAAGGTACAACCGAGGTTACATCCGGGGGCCAAGATGTGATGCAACTTACTCCAGCCTTCGCAAAGATAAATCCCGGAGACCTTGATAACAAATTTATATAGTCTATCTCATTTAAAACGGCTCATTGCTGCTTCTGCTTTCCGGTCTTAGCTCAATGCACATTTAGCAACAACAATGATCTCACTGGACAATTTAATCAATCTAATTTTCGGCACCGAATCCCTTCGTAGTTTTGACACAATAGCTTTAGGATTCTTTGATAGATGAATTTTTGACTCATCAAAGCTTTTTAAAAAGCGCGACAGAACCTTCAGTCCATACATAGGAAGTGGCGCTAGAGCTAGAGTAACATCGCATCGTGAATTCCGGTCCGGGACGAGAAACCGTTTGATGCTGCAATAGCAATTGAAGTCACAAAAAGTCAATACAGCTTTCGACGCTTGCATGGGTGTCTTCATAGCAGACGAACGGGTATTTATCCCTAAACGGCACCTTTATAATGGTTTTTTTCAGTTGTCTTCTACTTTAGAGAGCTGCGCGCTGTACGGAATAGCCGAATGTATCAGGATTGTCCAGGAATTTAAAGCCCAAAGGATGGATACTAGCAGCCAACAACCCTGGGCTGTGAGCACTTCTGCTCTTAGAGTGCGTCGCACCTTTCAGGGCTGGGCCAGGTGATTTCGGTATAGAGTATGTCCAATTTCTAGAGATAATCTAGGAGGAGGCATATATAGTTACTGACTATCAAGCTTTATAGGCGTACATCACTTGTGGCAGGTTGATACGCAGCACAGTATATAAAGAGCATGAGAGAGCCACAACCTCCCCTGCTTAACCGTCTATTATGGGTGATTTGCAGATAGATTAAAGACAAAGAATACATTATGTTGACTATTTCAACTAAGTCTGATAAACACTACAATAGCTGATATGCAAATGAGTAGAGCTTCAATTCCTTTAGAGATCAGTACGTCCTTATTAAGTCTCTTCACACTAGAGTTTGTGGCAATCTACGTGACGTTGTATACCACACCCGCACACTCTAAGTACATCATCTAGTTGATTAAAGACTGATGTGGTTATACCTTAAATAATGTGTGTTCACTTATATTACACTATATCTCTTCTTTATCTTGCTGAGCTGCCATATTATTAAAAATATGTTCCAATGCAGTTTCACTCACACTATACTCATCAACATACAAACTTGATCGAGTTTGTTCTAACGCCCGAAAAACTGCAGCTGGACGTACAACTTCATTACTATCAACTTGATATTTTGGCACTTGAAATCGAAAATGTTTTCCTTGTTGTTCAGCAAGAATCGTACCTGGAAATTTGTGTTCAAAAAATGCACATAATTGTTCTCCACACGTTTCCAAGACCCACCACAAAACAAACGTCTGGATCGAGATCGCACCTTTAGTGTCCAATAGATTCCCGAGTATCCATCCTGTACCCTCTTGATTAAGTATACGTACCCCACGATCGGAATAACCTAATGCAGTACACAAAGGTCGAATAGAATCTATCGTCACCATCTGATTCCGTTCTGATTCGACCAATAAATGCACATCATTATATACTTTCTTCACTTCCTCAGATTCTGAGTTCAAAGTACAAAGTGTAACCTCAACCGTGTACCCGTATCCAAATTTTTGTTTTAAATATTCGACACTTCCTAAACATTTCAATCGTCCAGTTACTAAAATTCCTACACGTGAACACAAAGCTTCACATTCTTCCATACTATGCGTCGTAAGTACAACACAAGCACTTTCATCTCGTTCGGATGAAGTGAGTTGTGTAATCAGATTCCACATTTTACGTCGAGAAAACGGATCGACACCAGTTGTTGGTTCATCAAGAAAAACAATCCGAGGACATCCAAGTAATGCAATAGCCGTCGAGACTTTACGTTTATTTCCACCACTAAGTTTATGTGTCAATGTTGTACGATATATTGTTAACTCAAGCTCTTGAATCTTTTCATCAATTACAAGTTTTACAAAAGGTTCGGAAATTCCTTTCAAACGAGCATAAAATTCAAGTTCTTCTTCAACTGTTAAAAGATCATGAAGTGCATCAAATTGTGGACAAAAGCCAATCCTTTGACGAATTGTCTTCATTTTCGATGCGAGATTTAATCCATCAAGTGTCACAAATCCATTAGTTGGTGCTAATTGACCAGTTAAAATAGCTAAAGTTGTTGATTTTCCAGCTCCATTCACTCCCAAATATCCAAAACATTCTCTTTTTCGAATCGAAAGACTTAAATTATCAATTGCAATCTTTGAACAAGGTTTTCCTGCATATTCATGTCGAAGATTACGAATAAAAACAAGATCATTTGAAGTTTGATCTTCACATTCCACACGTTGTCGTTCAACTTGCACATCATCATCTTCTTCATCTTCTGACTCCATTGTAACACTACAATGATCCAATCTATTCATTTGTGTCTTCCACTTTAAAGAACGTGTTTCAATCACAAAGACAAGAATTGACAAGACAATAGCTTGAATAATTTTATACAATAATGGTGCTCCTGCAATCTCCAAGTCAAAAGGTTTTCGAACACAACATGATGGTTCAATGCGATCCCAACATTCAGTACATGGAGAATTTCCAAGACCTGAAAAGAGCCCAAAAAATGAGACAAAATCCGATGACTCCGAATTTTCCGCCCCAAAAAGAGCTTTGCGACTAACTTTTCGTGTGGCAAGTTCAAATAGACCATTATTTAGCGTATACCCTGGAAAGAGCATAAAGATCCATCGAAGATAATTTCGATCTAATGAAGAGATGGTGAAAGTATTGGAAAGTCGAAAATCGACGATTCGACAGAGAAAAGAAAACATACTGAGCAAAGCACCAGTTCCAAGTGAGAAAACAAGTAATGCTGTTTGTGCGATAGCATGATTTACATAACGTCGTGCAAAAAGGTAAGCAAGAGGAAGAATGACCCAAATATGGGTCACAAGAAGTGCACAAATGGCCAAAATATCATCATGAGTTGCATTTTCACCTCCATTTGGAGTAATAGTAAAAGGGACAATAATTGCAGCCATAACAATAGGAATGATGGTCAGTGTAAAATCATGTGTCCAATTAGCAACCCAATAAGCTGAAACATTTGCTCCACTAATTAATTGCAAACTTTTGGCATTTTGATTTGGGTCTTTTTCACGTACAATATATGCCACAATTGCTGATGGGATAAATGCAAATGCAAGTAATACCAAAAGGGCTTTAAGATACCCATTTAAAATCACTTGAAGTTTGGCATCATCTTTATCCATGCAAATCGTATTAAAACACATGGCTGTGTTGCATGTGTTGCATGGATACCAAGGTGAAACAAAATTTGTACCATCACAACATGTACGCATGTCACATTGTACGACTCCAAGAGTACAGTACGCAAACCCACGTGACATCGTACATGTTTGAACATTAAAGTTCGGATCAATTAAAGAAGTTAAGTTTGTTGATGCATTACATTGACTTTGTTCTCTTGTACTTGGTAGATTTGAAGCATAATTCGGTATGAAATGAGCGACTTGAATTTCAGGTAAAGATGCTAAGAGAAGGAGAAAAATGGAAGGAATACCAACAGCAAAGAAAATTGTCTTGAGATCTCGTTTCGCAATGAGAAATCGTTTGATAATTTGTGCTCGATAATGTGTCCAGAAAGAAATATCATTGAGAATGAAACGATTGATTGGAGTAAAAGTTCTTTCGGATTTTAATGATTGAACAGTATGATCCATTGATTCATTTGCAATGCGAAGAAAAACTTCTTCTAATGTTGTGACGGAGATTCCATATTGTTGTATACCAAGCTGCTGCATTTGATGATCAAGATGATTTAACATGAATGGAAAGATCTTGGATGAGATCGTTGGAAGTTGAAAAACTACTTCAGAACCAGCATGACTTAAACATTTGATATCTTGAATATACTTTTGAAGAAATCCTTCCATTACTTTGTCATTATACGAACCATCTAATATTTTGATTAAAGTTAAATTATATCCAGCTCCAAAACGAGTTTTTAAAAATAAAGAAGAACCCATACAACGTAAATGACCATGAGATAAAATAGCAATACGATCACCAAGAAGATCTGCTTCATCCATAAAATGAGTTGTTAAAACAATCACCCGATCTTCTCGATTTTGTTGTAATAATTTCCATGTAAAACGACGCGAGTATGGATCCATTCCAGATGTTGGTTCATCAAGAAACACAAGTTTATTCTCTCCAAGAAATGCTAATCCAACACTAACTTTTCGTTTCTGTCCCCCTGATAATGTTTTAATCAAAACATGTCGAATATCCATCAACCCAATCTCCTGAATCATTTTATCAATACAAACTTGTAACTTATCAAATGAAAGATATTTCATTCTTCCAAAGAATTGAAAATGTTCTTCAACGGTCAAATCTGAATACAAAATATCATATTGAGGACAAATTCCAATCATCCGACGAAGTTTTTCAAATTCATGTTTGATCGAACATCCATACAAAAACGCATCACCACTTGTAGGTTCAATTAATCCTGTCAGCATGGAAAGAATTGTTGTCTTTCCTGCTCCATTATGTCCTAAAAGTGCTGTAATCTGTCCATGATACATTTTCATATTAAGATTTGCAACTGCAATGCGTTCATTTTGATGATCAAGTTGAAAAACTTTACGTAAGTTTCGAAGTTCAAGACATGATCCATTTTGTTCTTGGATTGTTAAACCAGCATGTACGGACTCCAGATGTGTACGTACATTTTCTTGGTGATCACTCATTTCAACATCTGTGAATTCTGTGTACGCACATCCTGTTTGTGGGGACAATGTTGCACTTGTGTCACATGTTAACCGGACAGCTTTTTGACGAAACCAGTAGGATGGGGAAAATAGAAATTGCCACGGTTTTGAAACACCATATTCTTGTGGTACCACTTGTTCAAAATAATATCCAAGTGTTATTAAAATGAGGGAATCACCAAGTAAAAAAAGGGTCATATGAAAGGCACTGGGAACAGTGATGGGATTTTCGATAAGACCCACGGAATATGCAAAATTCGAACCCAATTGTGCACGACGAAGCATTTCGTCCACGGCTAATGCAAATGCAGTGGGTGGTGACAACGCTGCAACATATCGAAATGTATTCGTGTTAGTTGATTGGACAGAAAGAAAAGGAAAAAAGAGAATCAGCCAAAGAAGAACTGAAGCAATGGCAGCTGAGCGCGATTTATGAAAAAATGGGGCAATACAATACCCAAATGCTGTGATTGCAATACTAAGTGCCCAAAATAAAAACACTAAAGTGGCATATTCGGTTCGTGAAAAGACATTACCATATTTCAGTACAGCTGCAATGGCAAATGATAAGGGAGTGGCAAACATTGCAGTTGTAAGAATCCATGAAATGAGTAATGTCGTATCCGAAAGACCCATAATTTTCATCATTTGACGCATTCGAGTCTCTTTTTCAACAACCATTGTAGTAGTTGTTGTTGACACAAATTTAATATAACTGATAAGAAAAAAAAGACCCAAAACCGACTGCCCACCAGAATAAAACGACAACATAGAAGACGATGGACCACCAATAGCTTCAAGACCCCAAATTGTAAGACGACTACAGACAAGTGTCGAATTACTCGAGAAATTGGCTGCTTCGGATGTTAACCAAGTGGATCGCCATGAGTCGGTAAAGGAATCGAGATTTGCTAATAGTAATAATGCTGTCGATAGAAATACTGGGAGAAAGAGCTCAAAAAAGAAACTCACGGGACGACGTCGACGTAATACGAGATTCTTCCAAATTAAATTTGTCACTTGAGTCCACGTTGACGTCACATTCACAAAAGTCTTTGTGTTTTGAATTCGAGAACGAGAGAATCCAATCATAGCAAGTAAAACGATAATCACAATTGTTGTGATTGTAATTAATGTGATTGTTGCACTCGAAAGTCCGCTCTTACATTCACTTTGATACGTAAAGACATCGTCAATCAAATCCTTACATACTTTAACATAACTTGACGATGTTGTACATGCTTGAAGTGCAATTGTAGCCGCACAACATGATGCAGAAGCGGCAGATGTCGGTTTTGTGCACATAATGCGGCAATTCCCGTCCGTGTTGAAGGTTCGACTAGTTGAAAGAGCATTTCGATAGTTTGTAGTAAAGTTTGAAGGTATGAGATCGAAAAGACCAGAGTTGGTGATGCAGAGACCATAAGCAAGATCGTTTGCTAAGATAGTTGGAACACAATCAGAAAGCGCCGTGAGGATTGCACTTTGGGTGTCGGAGGTATCAACCATTGCAGTAGTTTTTGATTGTGAGAAGTGGTGGCTGATTCGTCAAGTTTCTAGCTGCCAAGAGGCATTTCCGTTGAGATTCGATAGGGATATTGCATATGATATTATGACAGAAATACTGTGATAATTAGTAACTTAGCAGAGTTGATATTCACTATGATGAAACATAACATGCAACGAAATGCTATGGCACTACACTGTAGTCTATGACTAGAAATCAAGCAACACATGTGAATACTAATAGCAACAAATCGACTGCTGCAATGCTAGAAAGTACTTTAAATATTGGATTTTTCGTTGGAAGCATCCAGTTTCGGGGTGATCGAGTTCAACAAACTTGATGTCGTCAATACTGTAAAAATCGAAGTATTGCTGAAACGAAGGTTATTTATGAAGCATGGAAACGGTCTCGGCTACATTGTACATTGTACTCAGCCTGTAAGCAATCTTTTCGAATTTAGTATGATAGCAGATATCCACTTATGAAGTTTCATATTGATGTTACCGACAGTTCTGAAAAAATTGTGATTGTTATCAAGACTAGCAAATTTAATGCAACTACTTGGATTATAAGATTCGAGAAAAGAAAGTGAGCATAAAACCGCCTATTACATATACTCAAAACAAGTTCTTGTGACTTTATACTCTAAAGAAAATATCTTTTTTCAGTGTATCTGATCATGTAATCATATTTACGTCATATAATCCAATCATAGGATTTAATACTGAGCAGATGACGCATCCGATTCCACCCATGTGTCTTTTTTATCAATTCTAATATCTGATTTCAAGTCGTAGTGTATCGTACATCAACCTCCAATTAAGATTACGGTTATACACTTGTGATTACCGACTGTCTCCTCATGAAGTCATTGCGAACGTCTTTAGGCAGTAGTGACACGTGTATTGATCTATACGCAGAACGAATTATGATTCCTCGTATATCCTTATTGTCAGTAGTCACAGGACTTGGAATTATTCTTCTATTTATCCTGCGCTATCGACGTCGACGTACACGACAATCAGCTCAATTATTACGAGAAAAAGTCGTGCTTGAGACAACGGAAGACATATACACGACTCGAAAGCGATGGTTCTTTTGCTTTTTAACAATTGCAATGGTATGGATTAATATTTTTCTTTATTCTTTTAATTCGTCGATTGCAATGGGAGCGACATCAATGAGTAGAGCACAAGCACGACCTCGTACTGTCTTTAGTTTTACGACAACTCCCATTGGAATAAATGAAATACAACGGACAATTGATGCTTTAATTTATCAAGAAGGTGATGGATTTGATGTTGTTTATATCATTGTACCTCGTTTCTATCGAGAGAAGGAGGTTGAGATTCCATCGTGGTTATTACCTGACGTTTCAATGCTAAAACAACTTGAATCTTATGGTTTTATGTTTGCAACTAGTACAAGTCCATATCACGACAAGTTGCGACTTGTTGTGCTAGACACTGATTTTGGACCTTCAAGTAAAGTTTTAGGAACGCTATTAGTTGAGCAAGATCCAGATACGATTATTGTATACGGTGACGATGATCGGATATATCCTCCACAACTTTGTGAACGGGCACTTCATTATACACACAAGTATCCACATGATGTTATTGCAGTATTAGGTGGATGGATCTCGGCTGAAGATGGACTTTATTGTGGACGTAGTCTCGAAGTTGGGGTTAATAGTGTCTCGTTTGTTGGGGGAGCAGGAGGTGTAGCAGTTAAACGAAAGTTCTTTGGTTTAGATGAAGAGACTATTCCTGCGTTTCAAGTGATAAATATGAGCAAAGCGTGTTTTCTAGGTGATGATTACTACTTATCTCACTTATTAAGTCGCAATGGAATTCGTCGACGACTTGTGAGTGATAGCTGTTGGAATATTGAAGCCCTTACAGAGTCATTTTCGCATGGTGGACTCTCGTACGCTCCATCAGAACATCCAGGAGGTGCTAATGTCGAACATTATCAACAATGTATACGCGAATTAGGACGAGATCAAGATCTTTCACGAGATGGAGAATTTGGATCCTTCTGCATGTTTTTCGTTTCTCGAATATGGGGAGTGGTACGAGGTCTACGAAATTTGATATTTAATGGACATTTCGTATCGTGTTGATGCTCTAAAGGATGCGTGAGTACGATTAGTGGTAGACATAGGAGAACTAGATTCACTACGATCGTTGTAATACATTAAGCAACGACCTTAAATTTCTTACGAAATATTTGATTCCATGCTTGAAATCATTGCCACCTGTTGAATTCTACAACACATCAAAATTTCATTGTACTATGTGTGTGAGAAAGCAGCAAATGAGCAATCGGAAGAGAAACCTTTTACCAAGATATAGTCAAGTTGGTGCCGAAATCACCTTTACAATCACAAATATACTCCAAACTGAAGCCGAAGTATCGTCACTAGGCTTAGAAATTACAACGGATCTTTTCCTGGTTACATATACTTGTATCGACCTAAGGTATTCGGTTACCAAGGCATGAGAATCACAATGCAAAGGTAAGAGATGACTGCTTTTCTTGGTTGTAGTTTGCTTAATCAGCATACGCACATTGCTTAAACGTGTGGATAAAGCTTGTTCACCTGTATTTTTGCACTTAATTCTTTCAGTCGGTAAAAGTCCGAAAAGGTTTGCTACCTTCTAACACTATGCTTAAACTATAAATGTACTCAACAATCCGTAATCCTTGATCTTAACAATCAACATATCAACAAGTCAGTCGTCTCGTCAGGTAATCAATTGGCTACTTTTTGCGCTTGCACGCTACGATTTGCTTAATAGCGCTTGACCGTTCATGCACATTGTCATCGTTTTCTTGATCTTCAAGCCAAATTGAGCTTGAAACTCGTTTCGCGTGAGATCTGCTCCGATTCTGTCTTCACTGTGCTCAACATCTTCTCGCGGGCCGCATCCAAACAGAGGCTCGCCACGGAAACAAACAATAACGTCTTGATACGTGAAAATGACCAGCCGACGTCACGGCTACAGAGGCTCTGAGCGATAGGATACAGTCCGACAACCTATATTTCCTGGACGGGTACGTAAGAACCATATATACACGCGGTAAGCCTGATACGCGGTGCAAAGTCTGTCACGTACTCGTATTCACAAACTCTTTGAGAAAGAAAAGGTGGTGTCAACGCGGAACAAGCGTTCGTCCAGATGGGTTACCTGGGTGCTGGAAGTAAGGGATATCGAGCACGCCAAGTTCAATGGATCTCAGCTAAAATGGGAATGAAGAGACTTAACATTTTCGCTCTCGAGTAACCGATAAAAAGGCTCAGCTAGATGACAAATGGAGCGATTGAGTTCCGATCTGGATTCAAGATACTCATTCTAGGTATAACAAGCCTTGAATCGGCTGAAAGTTAGAGTGATAGGTGCCACGCACTGGTATTCTACCGAGGCCTTGGTAAGTCATAAACCCACTTTTGCCTGTATCTAATTTGGTGTGGTCCAAAAGCTGCAACAGTTGTTGTACATGGCGTGAAGTTGAACGAGATTGTCGGTCGATAGCATTGAGGTGATTTCCGGAAAGCGGAGGCGTTGGTGATTTGCGGTCGTTTGAATTTTCCTTGCTGAGATCAAAAACAGCTTTTAGCTAGTGTCTCCGTGCTTGCATCTGCTAAGAAAGAAATCGTCTGTTTGTTGCAATCTCCAGGAATTTCAAATGTTGGAGCGGATCAGAGTGGCTCAATGTGGAGATTTTCAGGACAAACAGACAATAATGAGCTGTGCGTAAGAGGGCCTAAGCCCGATGTTACAACCCCCCGAAATATTCAAGGCATGGTGTGCTGGTACGATTGAGTAAGAATGGCGAGCACGTGCCTAAAGTACAGAGCATCAAAGCCTCGGCGCGAATTGTGCTTTGGAGTGCATGGGTTGTACCAGAAGTTATGGGCTTTTAATCTCTACTACAGGTGAATATTCTTGTAGAGATGAATATATGACTTTAAGGATGCATGCAAGAAGATACAGGACGGTGGGATCATTGAGTTGGTACTGATAGTATCGTTGGACTCACGGATGAGCTTGTCATCGAGAACAGCTAAAAAACTGCGTGCCAGGCGAGAACTAGCTCTTCGCAAGGGCCTGATTGCAGCGGCTGCTTCGCACGAGAGCAGTGCTCAGTGGCTTACGTGCCACTTAACGTGCATCACGGGGACCTTGCCTCGATGTCTCGGCCCTACCATGTCACGCATGACATGCAGCGACTGCTTCGATACTCAAACAGCGCTCAGTGGTTTACGTGCAACTTCACGTGAATCACGGAGGCCTCGCCCTTGATGCCTCGGCCCTTGGCCGACCATGTCACGTATGACATGCAACGACTGCTCCGAAACTTGAGCAGCGCTCAGTGGGTTACGTGCCACTCCCCGATCACATCTCCTGTCCGATACACCATTGGTGTCTACCAACTCGGGCATTCCAGTGTCCGGCACGTTGACCGTTTCGGTCCAGTGCCCTCGCCAATAGCGCTTTTGTCTACTAGCAGAGGTGGGTTCATGACTCGCCAAAGCTCCACCAGAAGACGTGCGCGTAGCGCCCAAGGTCTTTGACCTTCAATCAATCCTTGGCTGATGGTGTTCCAACCATGCCATTCCTAGGATGAGGTCATACCTTGCATCCAAGTCTAAG